TCACTTTAGATTTCAATGGTTTCACAGTTATAGCAGTGTTTATAGCAGTTTTGACAAGCTTTGATACAGATAGATTCTCGTAAGATCTGGTAGAGTTCTCGTTGCACTGAACACGAGTTTGCACCGTTGGCGTTGTGCTAGACACGTAAACCAAGATTTTCTCAATATTTATGTCTGAAATGTTTATACATTTGAAAACAACACTGTCTTGCTGCTTCCTAGCTTTGTACAATGAATATACCGTCAAACTAATATCGGTACTTAATTGAATGTCCGTAATGCATAACATCAATTTATATATTGCGTAGTATCTCAAAGATTTTCTCAATATAATACATGCCTGAAATGTTTATACATTTGAAAACAACACTGTCTTGCTGCTTCCTAGCTTTGTAAAATGAATATACCGTCAAGCTAATATCGGTACTTAATTGAATGTCCGTAATGCATAACATCAATTTATATATTGCGTAGTATCTCAAAGATTTTCTCAATATAATACACCTCTGAAATGTTTATACATTTGAAAACAACACTGTCTCGCTGCTTCCCAGCTCTGTACAATGCATATACCCTCAAAATAATATCGGTACTTAATTGAATGCCCGTAATGCATAACATCAATTTATATATTGTGTAGAATCTCAAAGATTTTCTCAATATAAACACGTCTGAAATGTTTACACATTTCGAAACAACACTTGTCTTGCTGCCTCCTAGCTTTGTATAATGTATATACTGTCAAAATAATATCGGTACTTAATTGAATGCCCTTAGTGCATAACATCGATTTATATATTGCGTAGATTCTCAAAGATTTACTCAATATTCACATCCAAAATGTTTATAATTTGAAAACAACACTGTGCCGCTCCAGCGCTCCTTCCTGGCATCGTCACGCCATCATGATCTACGGCTTTATTTGTGTTGCTAAAGAAAAAAATGGGTTTTCCGGGGGAAAGATCCTTCACACAACATGAGAAGCGAATGTTATAAAATTTACAAAAATTTACAATAACGACAACGATTCCTCGAAATTTTTGTGAACTTGGCAAAAGGACAAAAGAATATTTAAATAATACAACTGAAATTACCTAAATAACTTTCAAAGCACAATAAATCACTACAAACATAAATCGTATACACATAATACACCCCCCGGAAAGTTTACTCTATCACTGATTGACTGACTGACTGATGTGAATTTTCCCACTCATCACAATAGTACACAGTTTCAAAGAAACTCTGCACTAAAAATGATGTCCCATGGTTACCATGGTAACTGAACGGTGTTGTCTGTGGTATTGTTGAGCTTGTAATGCTATCCGACACACACTTAGTTTTTATAAATTAATGTTTTGTGATGAAAAAATGGAAGCAAATTATGTATTTTAGAGCATATTGTTTATTGCTATGACGTCATTATGACGTCATCATATTTCCATGGTAATGCAGTTTTGTAACATTTTATCAACTAGTATTACTTATTTGACCTATAACATGCCTTATATCACACTTGCGTCGGTTTTCTTTGTTCGTCCGAGGTTTATAACTAGCTTATAGACCTTGAATAAATGATTAGATTAAACTTGTAGACAAAACACGAGAATTTTCATTAAAAATTTTTTAAAATGACAAAAGATGTTGGAAAACCTCCACAAGTGTGATATAAGTTAGTTATAAACCTCGAAAGTCGGTTTATAACTGATATATTGCCCCTCGGACACTACACATCCTCGGGTCAATATATCAGTTATAAACCTCCTACTCGGTTTATAACTCTTACATACAACACTTTGTAATGGTTTTTCAGTAATAAATTATCTAATTTCAGTTTTCGTGTTTTTTCTTTGACATTCAATGACGTCATACGGTTTCCATGGTAATGGTAAGTGTCCACCTGTTACACTATGTTGTTGCTGTGTATGTTACCAATGTACTCTGAAAATATTGTGGTGATCAGATGAAATGTCTAGAAGTTATGACCTTATATGTCAGCTTAAAACCAAGCATTTTTTCCCACAGTTCACACTCAGCTGTAATACATCTATACAGTGTCGCTCTTCCAAAAATTTAGCCTACGTCATAGACTCAAACTCGTTCCTTGTAGAGTCTATGCAACTTCGGCGAAAAGCTTGCCCCCACGTACGTCACATCCGTTTGAGCTTTTGCATAAATTATACTGCGTTATGTAAAATTTATTCATGGATATTTTCAAAATGGCGAACAAGACCAGTGTAATGCTAGACAAAAGAAAATTTCAAGAAGCATTGGGACTTGCTTGTAATCTTCTTCAAGTCGAAGGCTTTTATAAAGATCAACAAGAAGCTCTAAAACAATTCTTTCGGGGAATGAATTTTTTTTTAGTGCCCATGCAAGTTATGGCAAATCTTTAATTTTTCAAGCCATTCCAATCATCGCCGACTTTCTCAACGAACAAGTTATTGGAACTAGCGTTGTACTGGTGATCTCGCCGCTGATATCGCTTATGCAAGATCAGGCGAAAAATTGCAATGAACGTTTTGGCATTAGTGCTGCGGCAATATATAGTATGCAAGATGAGGAAATATTACAAAATATTGAGAACGGTGTCTACTCATTGGTGTATATTCTCCCGAAGCCTTATTAGCTACAAAGAGATGGAGGTCTCTTACCACTTCGAGCAGCTTCAGAGACCAATGTGTGGCGGTTGTTATTGATGAAGGACATTGCTTAGTACATTGGTAAGTATGTATTCTCAAATCTCAATAATTGAATAAAAGTTTGACTTTAATGTTAATAGTTATAGTGTAGAAAGTTACAAAATACCGAAAGTGTATTTCTCGGTTATAAATGTTCACCTACCACGTTGGGATAAAAATTATAAAAGATAATATTTTCAACCAATGGACTTTACATATTCAATGTACGTTCCATTTGGCAATTTTTATGGAGTCAAACGGACTCAAACCAATCAATTGGATGTGGTTATTTTTCCAAAACCAGAATGCTAGAGTAAAATGCTTATTTTCCCATCCAATTGTTTTCATTATTAACCCATTAAGTTACATTCATAGACGGATTTTCTGGGGGGGG